CTGATTAGCCTTTCCAATGGAGGAAATCAGATATGCATCTATCTCAGCGAGCAGAAGGGTGACTAAATAGAATGGGAGACAGGTTTGCCCTAAGCAGTTCCCAGCCTGACTTTTTCCTTTAGCTTAGTGATTTGGGGGCCCCAAGATTTATTTTCCTGCCACAAATATTACTAAGATAACATAATAAGAATCCAGATTTTCATCTCACTTTGGAAAAATGGGAGAATCTGACCTTCGGCCTGCCTTCTCACTAGGTAGCACTGCCTGGCGCGGAGCCCAGCCGCCCCCTTCCGCCTGGCCCATGCACTGCACCTTACCACTGCTCCAGCCATCCTCTCGGCCTTCCCAGGCCGGGCCTGACTTTCTGGGGGCTCATAGAGCATCTGCGTTAGGCCCTAGGAGTGTGTGCAGCAGGAAGCCTCCAGGGGAGGTGGCTTGCATCCCACACTGTCCCGAGTCCAGGAAGGGACAGCCTCCTGAGTATGGCTGGGCAGGACTGTCAGCAACCCAAGTGGATTAACTCCCCGACTCAGAACTTGGAGCATTTGTTTGTGTTTTAAGCAGAAGGAGGAAGAGTAGGAAGAGTTTGGAGAGAAAGGTCAACTGAAATTGAAACATGCACACACCTTGGATTCTTCAGAAATGGGTGCAGCTTGAAACGTCTCACCTTCCAAATTCTGGCAGCCAAGTGAGCGGTTTCCTACTTCTGTTCATAACACCCCTCTGAAGAGACCCTGTGCAACTGCCAGCTGCCAGATAGCTTCAAGCTAAACAGGGCGGAATCCCTAATCCACTTCACTGTTCTTAGACACAATCCTTGATGACTCCTTTGGCACTTCTGACTTGCATTTTAGGGTCGTCCTTTTCTTTCCTAATCGGATGTCTGGTTGCAGGGTTCAGTTGACAAAGTGAGATGAGAGAGCCAAGCAGTGCCACCGGGACACATTGGGGCCACGTTCACACTTTGGCCCTGGGGATGTGCTCACCAGCACACACAACAGGGTGCTCACACACACTGGGGTGCACACACAGCCGGTGCCCCAGTGAGTGAGCCCAGACACTTCCTACAGCCCCCAAGGCATGTTGGTCTTGTTTCAGGTAGGGTGGGTTTAGGGCAGCTCTGTTTCTTGTCACCAGTGTCTGCACTTCCATTTCTCCATTTACCATACCTTGCTCTTTTGATGATAAGAACAGAGCATAGGCAGACCTTGGAATCACCATACATCTGCTGTGCAACAGACTGCTGGAATAGCTGCTAGAAGAGTCCCTGGCCACACCAACCACAGTGGCCTCCTTTGCCTGCTCAATCACTGAGGGGCAGCTATGTCAGTTGGGCACCAGGGAAAGTGGGCTAGCGGTATTGGGGTCAGGTGTACCAAGATGCGGAAGCAAAGACAAGCTAAAGTTGCTGTCTCCCAGAAAGCGGGTGTCCTGGGAACATGCTTGAGAGAAGACAGAGCATCCTTGCATGGTGGCAGAACATTATCCCAGGTCTTGTGGAATCCAGACAAGTGCAAGCCAACGTCCTCCCCCTTCCCCAGCTGCCTCCCCTCCTCCCTTCTGCTCCCCAAATCTACCCCTGCATGGCAAGCTCCAGTCTACAAAGTCCATCTCCAAATGCCACCTCATCTTGCAAATGCAGTGTCATCACCTCCATTGAAGGGATGAAGTCAGCCAGGACCAGAAGATGCACCTGGCTGGCCAACGACAAATAATGAATTGATGGAAGGGGTTGGAGTTAACCAGAACAAGATGCCCCAAGCAAGAGCCATGTCTCCAGGGACATTGCCAGGCCGACCTTCTTTCATTTCTCCTCCTTGGAGGCAGCACAGGTACCCAAGGCCCTGGCATCACTTCTTCTGTGCCCAGCACTGTGGTCAGGAAGATGCACTTGAAGGTGAGAGGTCACTCCCTGCCGTGAGCGTCTTAGGGCCTGTAGCCTCATCCCTTCTAAGCCTCTCCATGGATAGAGACCCAACCTGGGATCCTGCTTTCCAGGAAGGTCTGCCTCTTTCTCCCAGTACCCAGGGTCTGGATCCTCACCTCCTGGGGTGACAGGACCCCCTTATAAGAAGGAGCTGCCTGTTAGGTGTGGCATGTCCCCAAATCTTCAGTACTCTGAGTCTCTTTCCGTCCCCTAATTTCCCCTAATTTCAAGAGGTGGCCCTAGTGCCACAATCTTGTCTCTTCTTCCCAAAGATGCTGTGTAGATGGTGTGAGCCCAGAATTGGGCACAGACATTTTGGGTGGATTCTAGTTCCTGTTGACCTGAAAGCAAGGGGCCAAGAGGGGCATGAGTGTGGCAGGACTCAAGCCAACTCACTCTACCTATGCACAGATGGAAAAAAGGGGACCTACCAGAACTCCTCTTGGGACAACACTATATTTGTTTGGAAGAAATAACACCTCTGGGGCTGGAACATCTCCAGGACTTGCCCAAGTCATGGAAGTTGGTTGATAAGGCCCTTCCAGGGAGGGCAAGTCCTCTTAACACAAGCATTGTGCGCATATAGGTGCCATGATAGATGCGAGAATGATTGTGAAAGTAGAGACCAGAGTGGAACTGAATTGCTCTGCGTAATAGAGGGAAGTTTCTCCTCCTAAGGATGAAGAGGAGGAAGAGGAGGAGGAAGAGAAGGAGGAGAGATAAAGGGGGCTAGTACTGCCTGGAGGGAGGAGGAAACAGTCGATGTACCGAGGGAGTTAGGAAATGCTTATAGGGATCTGAAATGAAGGTGAAGTGTTCAATATACACCTATTCCCTTCCCCTGCAAAATATGCATTTAGGCTTACATCATTTCTAGATGCTTTGTCCACTTGGTTATTCAGTGCAGTGGGCGGGGGAGATCTGAAAGGGTGCTGCCTTTTAAATTTTGGTTGGGCTGCGGTTAAACCTTAAGCTGCTGATGGTCAGCCCTCTGTGTGGTCTGCAGATGAGGCGAAATCCCAGGCCTAGTGTGTGCAGCTGACCTGTGCACCACATGCTGTCCTGACCACACCCTGAAGGAAACTCTGTCATCTATCTGCTCTGTGACTTTGGATAACTTCCTTGCCCTCTCTGAGCCGTAGTCTACTCATTTGTAAAATGGGGAGTGCATTAGTTTCCTGTTGCTGCAATAACAAATAGCCACAAACTTAGTGGCTCCAAACAACCCACATCCACTCTCTAATGATTCTGGAGGTCAGAGGTCTGCAGTGGGTCTCACAGGGCTGAAATCAAGTTGCTGGCAGGGCTGAGTTCCCTCCCGGAGGCTCCGTTTCCTTCCCCTATTCTCTTCTAGAGGCTGCCTCTACTCCTTGGCTCCTGGGCCCTTCCTCCGCATCACCTCATTCCCACTGACTTGCCTGCTCTGGTCTTTCATATTTAAGGACCTTGGGTCCACCTGGGTCATCCAGAATGACCTGCCTACCTTAAAGTCAGTTGATTGGCAACCTTAATGCCGCCTGCAACTTTTATCTCCCTTTGCCGTGTAAGGCGACGTATTCCCAGGTGAGGAAGATCAAGGCACGGACATTGCTGGGGAGCTGTATTCTGTTTCCCACAGGAAGGAGAAGTGAATCAATAGCAAAATGTTTCTCATACACGAGACAGAGTGCAGTGTTAGCTCGCAGAGGGCTGGACTCATCAGGCAACGCTGTGTGGAAAGGAAAAGCAGACTCCATCTACAAAGACAGCTGAAGGGAATGACGATATTGACAGCAGATGCTGGGGCAAGGACACGCCTTGGCAGTAGAGAAGCCAGCTGGGACACAGGCTCAGGAAAAGGGGTGGAGGTCCCTGAACTGACTGGGATTTTGGTTAAATTAAAATAGGAAATGGAGACAGATCAATTTGAGCAACAAATTGCATTTAAAATGACATGCACACCTTTGTGGGCTAAAAGTCATCCTCACTGCATATAGGTCTTTGGTTTGTGAAAAAAAATCTAAGTTTGAAATGTGAACATCAGCCGGGCGTGGTGGCTCACGCCTGTAATCCCAGCACTTTGGGAGGCCGAGGTGGGCGGATCACAAGGTCAGGAGATCGAGACCATGGTGAAACCCCGTCTCTACTAAAAATAGAAAAAATTAGTCGGGCGCAGGGGCGGGCGCCTGTAGTCCCAGCTACTCGGGAGGCTGAGGCAGGAGAATGGCGTGAACCCGGGAGGCGGAGCTTGCAGTGAGCCGAGATTGCGCCACTGCACTCCAGCCTGGGCGACAGAGCGAGACTCCGTCTCAAAAAAAAAAAAAAAAAAGAAATGTGAACATCTTCTAGCTTATTTTATTTTGTTTATTTTGCCTTATGTTTTGAGCACAGGGCCTGGATTTGGGGGCATTCAGCTTGGGGGTCCAGAGGGCTCATCCTAGAGAAGCTGTGGAGAGCTGGTCTTCATGGGCCTTTTCTGCTGGGGCCTTTCCTGGGAGCCCCTGGCTCTGAGAGGGGGTAGCCCGGGTTGGGCTTGGTAGGAATGAGGGGAGCACGAGAGGAGGTGACAGTGGCCACATGCTAGGGGCTGAAAAAAAAGCTCTGACAGCTTGAGGCGTGCTCTTGGAAGAAGGGTCTCAGACCCCCCAACCCCACCTTGTCTGCCAGAGAACAGTTACTCAAGAGGCAGCAGAAAGCCCTGGGGTGTGCTGAGTTGTGTGTTGGCCAGGCCCCTGAGATGATGCAACTCTACTCTCCATTGTGCAATGAGATGAAAGGGCCACCAGGGAGGGGGCACACACAGGGGCTTTGCATCAGCCACATATTGAACTGGGTCACAATCACAGTTATACACACAGAGAGTCTAAGATTCAGAGGAAAAGGAAGACATAAAACTCACACCCTCAGCGCCCAGGATAGACCAGTGAAAAGGAGGAGGAGGGGGGAGAAAGAGGAGGAGGGGGGAGAAAGAGGAGGAGGGGGAAGAAGGAGGAGGAGGGAGGGAGTAGGGGGAGGAGGGAGAGGAGAGGAAGGAGGAGGGGGAGAAGAAAGAAGGGGGAGGAAGGGGAGGAGCGGGGGAGGGGGAGGAGGAGAGGAGAAAGAAGGGCGAAGGAAGGAGAGGAGAAGGAAGATGAAGAGAGGAAAGAAGGGTAGGGGGGAGAAGGAGAGGGAAAACAGAGAGAGGAGAAGGAGTGGGAGGAGAACAGGGAGGAAGGGAAGAAGAAGGAGGACGGGGGAGAGAGAGGAAGAGGAGGAGGGAAGAAAGAGAGGGGTAGGGGGAGGAAGGGGAGGAGGAGAAGATGTGGAGAGGGAAGAGGGGGAGGGAGAAGGGGAGAAGAAGGGGAGGAAGAGGGGAGAGGAGGAGGAAGAATACAGAAGGGAGGAGGTTAGGTGGGAGGAGGGGAAGGAGGAGGAGGGGAAGGAGATGGGGGAGGAGGAGAGGGAAGAGAGGGAAGGAAGGAGGGAGAGGAGGACAAGGAGGGTTTGGGTTAAGGTTAGGCTTGGATTAGGGTTAGGAGGAGGGAAAGGAGGACAGGGAGGAAGGGAGAAGAAGGAAGAGGGGGAGGGGGAGGAGGTGAAGAGAAAGAAGCGAGGAGCGATAGGGAGGAAGAAGAGAAAGATGTGGAGAGGGAAGGGGCTAGAGGGAGGATGAGGAAGAGGAGGGAGAAGAATAGAGGGGGAGGAGGAAGATGTAGAGAGGGAAGGGGGGAGGGAGAGGGAGAAGAAGGGAGGAAGAGGAAGAATAGAGGAGGGAGGAGGGAGGGAGGGGAGGAGGGAGGGAGGGGAGGAGGGAGGGAGGAGAGGAAGAGGAAGCAGATGTGGAGAGGGAAGCGGGGAGGGAGAGGAAGAGGGGGAGGGGGAAAGGTGGAGGATAGAAGAAGAGGGGAAAAGGAGGAGGGGAGGAGGGAGGAGGGAGATGTGGCACTCATGCTAGGTGCTCTGCCACAGCGGATGGAAACCTGGCACCTCCTGCCCCACAGTAGGTCTTGGTCCTGGATCTCCACTGTCACCCCGAGGCTGACGCTAGTGTGTAAAAATAGGTATGGCTCATGCAACAAGGTCCTGAAATTCTCAGCTGAGCTAAATAAACAGCGATCTGATCGGAGGGTGGAGGAAAACCCAACTGCATTGACTTTGTGAGGCCCATCGCTCTCTGTGTGGCAAGTTATTAAGGTGTTTCTCATGGTCTTGGGTTGTCTGTGCCCCATCTTAGAACCTGAGCCATGGGGGCATGGCCGTATCCCCCCACCCCATCTGCAAGAGTTTCCAGAAGACCAGGATTGGGGCCTTCAGCAGCCCTCCACTGCCCCCCGCTGGTCAGGCTGTGGGCCCCGTGTAGGACCTGAAGGCCATTAGACAGGCACCAGGAGAACCCAGTCCCTGGGGTGCAAGCTTTGTCCCGTCTTGGAGAAGACCCCTTTCCCCTCAGCAGATGATACTGGTACCTGCCACTGTGAGACCAGCCAAGCCGCGCCCTCCCAAGGGCCCTGTTTCTCCATGCATAAAGCGGGACTTTGGGCGAGGAGGTCTTTATACTCTTCCAGCTCTGACATTTGGAATTCTGAGATTAAGAACACAAGAAAAACCTTCTCCAACCCAAGAAAAGATGCACAAATGGCTGAATTTCCCCCTGTGTGGAGTGTGGAGGCACAGGGATCCTCAAGGCCTGTTTCTTTTTGATACATTTTAATTTCAAAATGTAGATATCTTTGTGTATTTTTCTGGTTATTGAAGCAATATGGACAGATGAAACTACCCTCACCTTCCCCAGTACCAAGGAACTAAAACCATAAATTATATTATTGTGTCACTTGCCACTCATCTGACTGGCAAACACAGAAAAGCCCATGAGTTGTTGAGGGCAGAGGAGAGGAGGACCTGGGGCCTTTCGCATGGAGGGGCAAGTGGGAGGGGCGCACAGTCTGGAGGGGGAGGGGGTGTCAGCAGCACCCATCACAGGCAATGCAGCTGTCTGGCCTCTGAGCATCTGAGCAGCTGTACTTCTACGAATCCGTCCTGCAGAAGGGCTTCCCCGAGGCCGCCATGCAGGCCCCACCAGGAACATCCAAGTATTCTTTCTTAGAGCAAAAAATGGAAAGTGAACTGAGGGAGGGGAGCTGGCTGATGGTGCACATGAGGATAGATGAGTCACACCCACTGTGGCCACACTCTCTGCAAAGTGACTTTGCTGTCCTGCACAGGAGGCCGGGGATCTGGTTCCCTACTCTCCCACAGGGGCTGGCCTGGGACACACACAATGTGCCAGAGTGGCCTTGTGCAAGTCCAGGGCTCAGGCCTCGAGGGGCCCTTCACCTTCTGAGAGCCCTGAGCCCACTGTGCTATAGCAAAGACCAGTCCGGCCTTCAGAGGGCAGGGGCCATGTGGAGAGAAATTAAGGTGCCCCAGCCGACAGCCAGCACCAACTGCCAGACACACCAGAGAGGCCATTCCAGCCTCTGTAGCCCTACTGAGCAGACAGGTGACAATAGCCATGCGAATGACCCCTGGAGGGACCAGCAGAAGGCCCGCCCCTGCTGGCACTCCACAGAATCACAAGCAATAATAAGTCGTTGTTTTCAGTTGCTATGTTTTTCGATGGTGTGATGGTTAATTTCACGTGTCAATTTGGCTAGATTGTGGAACCTAACTTTGAGTTAAAGTCAGTCTAGCTGTTGCTGTGAGGATATTTTTAAGATGAGATTAACATTTAAATCAGTAGACTTTAAGTAAACCAGATGACCCTTCAAAATATGGGTGGGCCCCATCCAATCAGTTGAAGGTCTTAAAAGAAAAGATTGAGGTCCCCTGAAAAGCAAGGAACTCTGCCTGCAGACTGCCCCTAAACTTGAGCTGCAACATCACCTCTTCTCTGGGCCCCTGCCTGCCACTCTGCCCTGCAGATTTCACACTTGCCCGCTCCCACAATCACATGAGCCAATTTCTTTAACTTTATGTAGGTACATGTCTATCGATCTATACACACACATATCCACACATACACACACACTCTCTCTCCACACACACACAGGCACACACACACATGCACACACACACATGCACACACACCCCTATAGTTCTGTTTCTCTGGAGACCCTAACACAGACGGTTTGTTATACAGCAGAAGCTAGTGAATACAAATGCCACCCAGTCATGAAAAGGAATGAGGTATGTATCTATGTGCTACTGTGATAATAGCTTCATGATATATGAAGGGGAAAAAAGAGCTACTTGTAGAATAATATGCAAGTCTTACAAAATAACCGGTGTGTGTTCCTGCTTGTGTGCACACGTAGCGTATGTTGTGAGTGTGGATGTGCTGTAGCACATGGAAGTGGCTCCGGTAACTCACGCTGTACTGTTCTGTGTGGTGCCCTGTGAGGCGTGGTAGTGATTTTGCCCTGTGACCTGCTGCAGTTTGGAGCTGTTCGACTGAGTATGGATTCCTCCGTGATTTTCAATGATAAGGCCCCACTGGGACAGAAGGGGTCTCTCTATGGCTTGGGGGCCATCAGCTCAGTGTGGGAGTACAGTGTGCAGGTTTGTGTCAGATATGGGTTCCAATGTCGTTTGTCACCCGTGACCATGAACAGGGAGCCCCCCGCCCAGCACTCAGCCCTGGTCTGCACTTTAGTCTTTGCATCTCCAATGGGGCAAAGACCCCGGCTCCAAAGGGTGTTGCAGACCTTGTCGAAAAGGGCTGGTGCCACTCCCAGAAACCAGCATGCCCACCCCATGTGGTGTGGCACTCACTCACTGTCATGGGTTTTCTCCACCACCCCTGATGCAGGGGAAAGGGCAGAGTGACATGTCCATGTCCATGAGTTGAAGTCTAGCTTCCCGTGGACCACGTGGCAGCTCAGGCCCTGTGAGTTTTCTCTGTGCTGCCTCCTCTTACAGACTAAATATTTGTGTCCTCCCAAAACTCGTATGTTGAAATCCTCACCTCCAGCGTGATGGTGTGAGGAGGGTGCTTTGGGAAGCGTCAGTCACGAGGGCAGAGCCTTTGGAGAGGGATTCGCCACGTGAGGACACCGCAAGAGGGCACTTTCTGCAAACTCGGCCTCTTCAGAGCCCTGCTGTGCGGCACCCTGATCTCGGACTTCCAGCCTCCAGCACTGTGAGGAATCAGTGTCTGGTTTTTATAAGCCATCCAGTCTACAGTAGTTTGTTACAGTAGTCTCAACGGACTGAGACATGTTCCCATCTGTGGACAGGCAGTGAGGCTGCAGGAGGAGGCTGAGAAGGTGGGAGATGCCAGGAAGGCAACTCCACAGAGATGCACCGCCTACCCACACAACCTCCCCCTCCCCAGCAGCCAGTTCCCATCAGCAGGGAGACAGGTCTTTACCTCCTCAGCCAGAGCCTCTGAAGGTATCCAGATGCTCTGTTTCCTGGATCCCGTTCCCTGTTCCCTTCTCCTCTGGCCCCAGGCCTCCTCCATCTCCTTGGTGAGCTCGTTGGTCCCTCCCCATACCCGTGGCACTGCTGTCTTTAGTCACTACCATCCTGGCTGTTTACTGAAGCCACTTACCTAATAGTTGCAAAGTTGAACACTGGGGTCAGGAAGGCCACACACATAGCAAAGCATAAGCATTACAAACTATGGCCCCCATCAGGCAAAGACGATGGATGCCTGGCTGCAGCGTCAGGGACCCAGGAGCAGCAGAGGCAGTGGTGGACAGAGGGCAGGAGCCAGGGCACAGTGGCAGCCACACCCAGCCACTATAGGATGTGGCCCCTGGACAGTGGGAGCTGGTGGGCCACATAGGGGTCTTGGTGGGCCCCTCCACACTGCAGGCTTCTGGCACACGATCTTTAGACTAGAGAAGCCCCCCCAAGCATTGGCCCTTAGTCCTTCCGAGCACCGTAGAGAGGTTTTTATCATTGTTTTCCTCTTATCTGGTGCCACTTAATTATATGCCCATATATAATTAAGGAGTTGGGAGTGCTGCGGCCTGATCTGTGACTTAGAAAGAAGAGATTTTATTCAAACTTTATTCACTGATGTCACTATCACTATTGTAAATGTACTTACTTGGTGTCAATACTCACTGGTAAGTAGCAGAACAGTGGGTTTTGTGAGGTGGGAACAAGGACCTCAGGTTATATTTTTTAAAGGTTAGAGTAGAGGTATGTTCTTATGCTGCAGTCTCATTTGTGGGGGCGGGGTGCAGGTGGCGGGAACAAAAACTGGTCTGTTCTAGGGTCTGTTTCCTTAAAGTCTTAGTTTGATTACATCACATTTAGCATGAGTGACTCCATTTTGGTTTGGTCTGGTCTGTTGGAGTCTAGTGCGTGAGCTCAGTCCAAAACAATGGCCTCTCATAATGTCGATTGAAAATTACTCCCTTTTGGTGAGGTTCTAACTTAAGTAAGAGTATGACTAAAACTTTGGACCTTAGCACCACTCTCAGTTACCCTAATTGGGGTTTCAGCCTCAGCATGTCATAGGTTACAGTGCCTTCATGGTCACACAGTTCTTTCAGCTCTTGTCATTCTAGTTGAAGAGAGATCACTTGACATTCTAGAGATGGCTGCATGCAAACATTTAAAACTTTTGAAAGAATACAGCACACCAGGGAGGTTACTATTATGATCATCAGAAGGATAACACCAAGAGTTTGGAGTATGCTCCTTAGCCAGGGTCCCCATAAACCAAACTAACTGAAATCAAATAGATCAAATAATGAGCTATATAAAAAGTCTACTTGCTTTAACCAAGCAGCCTGTTCATTAATCCCCTACAACTGATTTTTTATAATATCTGATTTATTCCTCCATGGGCAACAAGAAGTGCCAGCAACTGTAAAGGTACTTCTCTCTTTGGCTGGTAAGAAATCTAGAGCAGTTTTTTTATTATTTAGCATAATTTTCACAAGAGAATTTAAAGCCTGCTGTGTAACCATAGCCTTTACAGTAGAATCTGCTATACAGCCTATCATGAAGGATACATTTCTAATAATTTCCTAATTTACTTCAAGCCATATAAAAAGGTACCTAACAAATGATGGCCATCTAGAAGAATGAAGACCTCCTGGCA